GAGGAAACCACTCCAGCCTTGGGGAACAGGTAGACCCCTCCGAGCCACCTCCCACCCCGGACTTCTGCAGGGGCTACTTTGACGTGATGGGGCAGTGGGACCCCCCCTTTAACTGCAGCTCGGGGGAGTTCATCTTCTGCTGCGGCACTTGTGGCTTCAGGGTTTGCTGCAAGTTCAAGAAGACGAGGCTGGATCAAAGCACCTGCACAAACTATGAGACGCCGTTATGGATGAACACTGGGAAGCCTCCTTCACGCATAGACGACCCTCTGCATGACCCTACCAGGGATAAAACCAACCTCATTGTCTACATCATCTGTTGTAGCGGTCATGGTGCTTGTGGGGATCTTCACCAAACTAGGGCTGGAGAAGGCACACAGACCCCAGCGGGAGCACATGTCCAGGTAAGGCTGAGGGCCAGGCAGCAGGGTCTGCTTGCCCCCTACCCCTAAAGAGGAAAGAGGAGCCCAAATGCTCCTGCTAAACAAAAAACTCCTGCCAGGCAGGCTGCATTCCCCTGCAAGGCAACTGAGAAGGGCCAACTTTGGTAAGCAGAGCTCCTGTGGTTCCCCAAGCCCAGGTTATCAAAGTAAATGCATAGTGAGGAAGACTAGAAATAATTGTGGATTCTGCACAGACAGCAGTTCATTTTTTTCTGCAGTGTCTGACCCTCTCCCCAGCACGATCCAGCAAGTGTTCCCAGATATACTGTGCATGAATAAGGAAACCAAAAAAAAATCCTGAAACCAGCAACACTGAATTATAGAAAACCTGATGTGTTCTCTCTTCCAACTGTTTCAAAGCTTGGAAGATGTTTTTACTTCTCAACAGAAGGATGTAAACAAATGTCATCTCAACCCTCCCTCTCCAGCTGCAAAATGGTTTTGGCAGGACCTTCCCTACTCCCCCAACCTTTGCAAGCGTGTGAGCTATTTGTAAAATTTCTAAGCTGTCAAAATGAACCAGGATGGAAGGGAAAAGGGAGACACAAAAAAGAAAAGCAATTGTAGAATCTCTTAACATTTTTCACTTACTGTTGAGAGGTAAAAAATGGAATATGAGAGTCCTGTCTCATCCATATATACGTATTACACTCTGCATCCACAGTGTAATGGCTGAGTTATATCAAAAAGAACCTCCTCTACCTAGAGTTAAGCACGCTGTGTACCATCTACTCCAGGTACTGGCTGCCTAGTGGTGCATGGGCAGGTAGGCAACTCGGGACAGAGCCCAATGGCTTTAACAACATATTCCAAACCCGGATTGTCACAGCAGTTCAAAATCAAGGCGTAACACATTTGTCAAGTTTGCAGTCTGTCTGATTCTTTATGCTAATCCCAGGCACATGAGAGTAAAGCAGATGGGGGAAAGGCATTAAAAAAGGCAAACAGCTCCATTAAAGAGTCTAAATAGATTCCAGCATATTGAGCAACTTCAGTGATGAAATGCAATTAAAGCATACCTCCTACTGGACGTGCAGTGTGGCAGAAAGCTTCCTCTCGTCCTGACTGGTAATGGTGTAGTTCACAGTCTTTAAAGCTTAGATGAAGAGTCATCCTTTGAAAGATAGTCCAACAGATCAACTCAACACCTGGAGCCTTGTTTTCTACTGAAGTTTCTGCATGACTTTTTGATTATCTGCTGATTCTGAAATGAACAGAGAAAGCCACAAAAATACTCCTGTAAATGTATTACCAGTTCACTAGCAATTATTTTCTATTTATAAATTGACTGATATGGATACACTTTTGCTACTGAGGAATATAGTCAACACAGTGTGTCAGTGATACTTTTGCAGAGATTTTTTTTGAGCAAAGTATAATCTTTAGGCATTTTGAATATTCTCAGTTACTAACTTGAGAAGAAGTCTACAGGGATCCCAATTTCTTTTTAAAATCTTATTCTTATACTACAGAGCTTGTTTGGAAAAAGCTCTCCCTTGCTTCAGCCTCTTTCTGTAGTCTCTTCATGCAGGCAAAAAGGCAGGGCTCGTAACAGTTACAAAAACAGGCAAGAGTGAAGTTGTAGCCATCTCTGCTTAGGTATGGCTTAAATAGGTCCTATTTCTACTACTAGAAATATATGCTGTCTAACGTACAGGTGTGAAGGATTCTGAAAGGATATTCTGTCTTAGTTTATGGAAATAGAATTATAGGGGATTGGAAAATCATTCTGAAATCCTTCACTTATGTATGCATAAAGATTAGGTTTCTGAAGTGGTTCTTAGGAAAGGTCGTCTCTTACCCTGATTACTTAACAGTGTCTGAGATCTTGTACTTTTCTTGCCACGAAAATGTTCAAGTCAGGATTATACAGAAACTTGGAAAGTCATGATCACATGGAAAAACAGTCACCCACTCAGTACACATAATAGCTAGTCATGTTCTGAAAAAGCAGTGCTATAGGTTTTTTTTTAAATGAAAAAAACTTCTCACACTCCTATTACAGCTGTGGGGTGAGCTGTGGAAAGGAATTAGATTTGTAAATCTCTTTGGCAGTCTAAAAATCTGTTAATTGAACGAAGAATTGAAGTAACCTCTTTGTCCTCAAATGTGTGTTTAACTAAAATATTCCATCCTAGCTCATTTTACACTACTCATGTTCTGAAAAAAAGGTTGCAATGCTTAAGAAAGAAGTAATTTATCTCCTTAAATAGTACCAATAATAGTTAATAGTATCAGCAATTAAAATAATACATAGCCTATATTCATATACATCTTCTTTTATAAGACTCATCACTACAATATCAAAAATCCAAACTAAAAAGAACACTTTTTTTTTTCTGTACTCAACCTTATTAATAAGCAAAAATATAATGCATTATGTGTTGGGTAGGCCAAACCAAAAGTACTAAGTGTTACTCCATTTTGGCTGGCAACAAGAAACACCCAGAGGCTGATCTGCCATCTATTTCCTTAGCTAAGACTGTCTCTTTTCCCTTCCCGGGCCAATGGCTACGTGAAACACTTGAATCCTCATTCCTATGAACAAATTCACCTATGGAAGGTATGATACTGCATATCAAAAAAGACAACGCATAATGCAAACTGCTCTTTTTTATGAAGGCTGATTTTTTTTTAAGTGAACAGAATACAACTGGTCTAAATTATATATTTCCATTTTTGTTTTACTAAAATTTTTAAAAAACATGAAGAGACCTGACATACGGGAATAAGAACATCGGTTTATAAACGCGAAGCAACACTGTGCCACACTTAGTAATTCCTTGCATTATTTCATCTTGCAGTCAGTGCATCTGTTGTTAAAGTAACACACTGGTGTGTGTAAGAGTGGGACAACGTTAATAAAGGAAATTTCACAGGCTTGGTGAGCTTAGTTTCTGAATGCCTTCCTTACACTAGATTTTGCTTACTGCTATACCAAAACACACCAAGAACCTTCCATTAATTTCACTAAATTTTCCTGAAATATCTGACAATGAAAAAGCATTGAGGAGATGTATTTACTTAGTGAAAAGAATCCACAGGAAAAAATTTCTGTTGGGTAAGTCCTTTTAGGAAAAAAAGAGTGTAAATTTGTCCTTTTTAAGAGAGCTTGTTACTTCCTTTTGTTTTGAGAAAAAAGGCTAAGTGTGGCACTGTTGACATCTTCTTTCTTGTTAGATCAGTGCTTTTCAGTAAAACAAATACTGTTGGCATGGAACTGTGAATCTGGAAGATGAAGATGGAGAGGGGAGCACAGTATTAGCTCTACATGGCATATTCACTTTAGACATCATATAACAATGTTTTGCTTACATCATTCTCCTTGGTTTTAAACTTGTTACTTGATAATAAAAGGAGATGAATATTCTCTTCAGCAACAGTGTCCAAGAACTAAGTGGTAATAGTAGCATCCAAAGAGTAACTCTTCCTTTACCCTCCTGCTTTCTAAGAGACTAAGGGAATAAGACGGTGTATGTTATCAGCTGTGCCTAAAAGGAAACAGAATTGATCTGCCTCCTGAAGCAGACCTAGAAGTTCTGTTAGGGATATGAGGGCAGCATATTCTTGCTGCTTTAGACTACATCAGTGGGACTTCAGGTTCCATCAGTTAAAGTGGAGAATCCTCTCTGAAAAAATGAGTAGAAAAGGGAAAAGCTTTACTTCTATTTAATGGAGGAGATTTTTCTGTACATAAACCCACCTTTGTCTTCTTCCCTAATCCTAGTGGAGGATGTGCAAACAAACCAGGAACTGAAAGGACAATATTTACAATGATGCTTGTACGCTATAGCTCCTGTTTTTTTTTGCAGCAGTGCTTCTAACAGTGTGTTAGCAGCCTTCCAAGTATCACGAACCATCTGAGATCTTCCTTCTTCCTTCACAGTGTGCTGAGCTCACAAGTTATGTCTTTTTTTGATCATTCAAAACGCATGTACCTGGGGCCAAAAGTATGACTTGCCAAAATTCTGAATCCTATAGGTGAAATTATTTCCTATATGGGTTTTGACCCAGTTTTGGAGGCAAAATACAACAAACGACCTTTCATGAAATAACCTGTGTTTCAGCTTCTTCAGACTTGTACTCTTAAGGGAAATGCCTGGCTTCACATGCTTTATAACACTCAAAACCAGTTGTACATATACAAAGAGAAAAATCTTATGGCAAGAGAAATCCTGAAGTTTTGTGATACTTAGAAGTTTATGGCCCAGAACTATCCACGTAGGTAACATTTTTCCACCTTCTAATACTGCAATCAATATCAATACACAGGACCTAATGACATCGCTACCTGATAAGAAGGCTTATCCTTAAAAAATCATTCAGTATAGCAAAGGTGTAGATGAAGACCCTCTACCTACCTCTACCAATTTCTTTAGATAGTGAACAAAACCTATATGACAATATTCAGGTGAGACAAATGCACAAAGGTATTATAAGAGACTGTTGGCCCATATGGAATTTTTTGAAGCAAACGTTTATTCAAGGATTTTTCAGGTACTGGGTCACAAACCTCCCTTTTTCAATTTCATTGTATGGCAAATCCCTAAAAGAACAAAAGGCAGGTACAGCATTTCCTTTGTACTTCAGTGATGCAAGCTGCTACACATTTTTAACTCTCCCTGACATCAGTGGAAGGTAAGGACAAGCGCTTTATTTTATGAGCTATTCTGCCCTGAGAAGATTGTACAACTTTGGCTAACACTGTATAAACAAAGGTGCTGTTTTGCTAAAACCAGAACTAGATAGTGAGTAGTTCCCTTTTTTATTAATATAGTGGGAGTTGGACAGTTAATTCCTTAAAACCCCTTTGAAAAAAGCCATCCTAAAATGGTAGAAAAATTAATTGGCATTTTCACAGACAGGCAGTAGTTAATCTGCTATCATACAGGCTGTTAAAAGTCTATAGTGAAGAATATTTACCATAAGACTAAGGGCAATGAGGAAAGCCTTTCTGAAAACTCCCTCTCACAACGCTGGGAAATACTCATCAGTGTATTATGAGATCTCACAGTTTTAACTCTCACGTTGAAGTTAGGAACTTTGATTTGCTTTTCTTCCCTTTCCAGAAATGTGTCCACTGGAATTATAATTAATATTGATGTCAATAATTACTTTTTATAGAGATATATTTGCATAAATTGGTTAGATACTAATGGTTTTGGTCCCTATTCACTTTAAACTATGTTTTGCAATATAACGCTTTCCTTTTGCATAATTTTCTACATACCTTTGTGAGATCTCTTCTATTGAATTTTTATTATTCTGGTATGTAGGCCAGCTCTGCTATTTCTGCTGTATAAGCATCGCTTCAAATAGGAGCATTGCTCTGATACCATTAATCATTTGGTTACTGTCTTCTGACCTTCTACAGTATCAACAGAGTATTCTATAACATGTTGATCACAATTGTAACTAATATTTTAATAACATAATGCTGGCCATAAACACAATGAAACATCAGTATCAGTTCAGCTGTGTAACAGAGCAATGTTCCAGCAATGTGAAAGCAAGATCCAGCTCAGTATTCCTCTCTGTCTGTAACTTAAATGAAGCTACTTTTTAATATTTAAAAGTACAGTGCTTCTTGATCAAGAAATCTTCATGTCACAGAAGTACAGTGGAGAGGCTAGTGGTTCTTGCCATGGCTTTCACCAGCAAATGTGCTTATTTTTATTTATTTATTAGTGTATAAACTAGTCTTTCTTGATGCAGTATCTGGGACATCATATATAATTTTGCAGAAAATTAAACTAAATTTGGCACAGTGCGCAGAAAATGCATTCATTCCCTTAAAAAAATAGCTTAAGGGGTCTAAAAATTAAAACTAGTAAACGAAAAAGGAGGCAAATAATGGTTAGTGATGCAATGACCTGAATAGAAAAGACTTGCACTGAACCCTGAAGACACTGGTAACACATCCCATAGCTTTCCTTTGCCTAAGGCAACAGCTTCTGCAGGTGGGCCAATTATTTTGTATGGCACAGTAGTTTAGCAGGTCATACATCTAAGGGCTAATCCTGCTCCTGCAGAAGTCAGTGGTAAAACTCCATAGCCCAAAATCCCAGACAGAGTTAGATGTTGCCATGCTGAGAGTTTCAGAGCTTAAAACGTAGTCACTAACTCTAGATCCATGGGGCTTATACAGGTGTGCGTCCTTATCTGTATGCCTAAGAATGGACTCAGCAAGACTCTCAGTGGTGAAACTAGTCCTTAGATAATACGCCAGAGTGGGATGAATATCTCTCTCTTTCAGATATAGTTAGTGCCTGCAGCTCTGCAGAAAAAGTCCCTAACTAGCGTTGAGTCAGGCCTGGCCTAACTGTTAGGAATCCGTTTGCCTTTTGCCTCACTAGCATAAAGCTTTCATCCTGTTTCTGAACTGGCTTCAAAGCAGCAAGGAGTGTTCTTGTGTGAGTTTTGTTCCATCTTAATGACTAGGACACTCATGTAAGTTAGAAAATACATTTTTGATCCCCCCTTCTGGATAGGAGAAGCTTAAATCCCTGATCATGAAGTGTGCTATGCCTACTGGATTCTGCATGAAAATCATGTGAGTTTTAAACTTTGGTGACACTCTTGAATGAGAGCAGCCAAAACCACTGCATTACATGGTGCTCTGTGCAAATGCGTGTGTGAAAAGCTTTGACAGACCCTGCTGGTAACCTAGGCATCAAGATAACTAGCATATGAAAGCTACAGACAGTGGCTAGGTCCTGAGGTGCTTAGTTTAACCAAGATGGCAATATTATTGAGCACATGCAATGGCAGAACTCCACAAGTCTCAGCAAGCTTAAACTACGTTCCTACAAAGCCATGACAGCTAAAGAACTTAATGGGTTTCTGTGCATTACTGCTAGCTAAGACAACCTAAAAAGAGCCTTAGGTGCAAAGTCTCAGCATTAATCTGATTCCCTGATTTTGCTGTGAATAGAGCTGGTTTCTTCAGCAGACATTACAATGGACTGCATCTCAAACTGAAAAAAAACCCGAACTTGGAATATATTGCTAATGCCTTACAGATTTTGCAGGCTCATTTTGATTTTGTTTGGTTTTCAGGGCTCTCGCTGATGTTATGCGACCTCAAGGTCCATGTACAACAGATCACATGGAAAGAGATCTAAACATTGTAGTACATGTGCAACATTATGAAAACATGGAGACGCGACCTCCTCCAAATAATTTGCGTAAGTTACCCTACAACTTTTGTCAATATCTGGAATGTGGGCACTAAACGAAGTATTACGAAAGAAATATTGCTGGATGTCAAATAAGGATTGACAGTACACAGGTACTTGCAGATTAGAAATATTCTTTCTTTGAGAATTAGAAATACTTAGGATTTCCTAGTGCAAATAGCGCAACACTGTAAGAAAGCTATTTTGAATAGAAAAATTACTTATATTTATTTTTAATTAGTTGTCTTGGTTGACTAATATTGGTTTTGTATCTTCATCTTCTTCTACCTGGTGTTTTTTGCTCAGTTCATCAAGCTATACCTTATTCTATGTTTTGTTATATCAAAATACAACTGGTTAAGCTTACAGCAAGTTTAACAAGATGTTTCATAGGCTTGTAGCATCCAATAAGAAAGCAGTCTCATTAGGCTGTTTTATCATCTCCACTGGTAAAACAGTTAAATACTTTCCTGGAAAGCACCAAGTTATATATGGTTTTCAATTTCTCTTTTTTTTTTTCTCTCTAAGGGAAAAGTGAAAGGAAGATTCTTACTTAAATTTTTAAATAATATTTTTATTCTGTATCTGCTATTCCATGTTTATGTTATTGAAGGCAAGGAAAAAGTGCACCTTGGGGCTTCAAAGGAAATATGGTGACATTTCAAGTGGTTCTGAAGTCCTAGGCAACTTATTTCTCAGTCTTGTATTAGACCACAGTACAGATCTTATGCTCAGATACATTTTCTTTTTGTGATGAACAGTTCCACTGCAGTTTTAATTGGAATATATATTTATGTATTTTGTATTAATCCATATCTTAAACATATATACACATATATAATATATACACATGCATAGAAATTATAGATAATATCTTTACAAATTCAAGTTCAATATATTAATAAAAGAAAAGGGTATTATTCAGGAAGGTTTAGATTGTTAGGCAGTGGATGACTTTACTCTGTGCTGCAGATCAGCGCAGGTGTGCATTTTATTGCAAATATACTTTTACAACGTTGGTATTTGGATTTTGAAACATTTACAATATATAAAGTAGTCTTTTCCTTATCTTTCTGTAACTATAGAAAGAAGAAAATTTGTTTATAATTTGACAAAGAATGAGTTTTATTTGAACTGTACTGTGCAGTTATTGTGAGATTTTAGTGCTTTCTTTTGGGGGAAGAGTGTAAAGACAGTGGGAGAAGGAACAGCCTCATATGCTGCAGGCACTCTTGGTAGTTGTTTTGTTGTAGAGGCTGACTGCGATTCCTTCTGCGCATCATTACAGAATAATAGGAGAGAATTAAAGCTGTGACCTCTAATAAAGATACCACATGTAGTGAAGTATGACACCTAATCTGTCTGCACTGCTCTCCAAGCGAAGTACTTCCACCTGGGCCTACGCAGTTCTACACTGCAGAGCAAGAAGTACATACATACTGCAGCATTACATTGCCAATTGTAGAAAAGCACACCACTCTGGAGGGGAACTTATGCTTCTCTCTCAGTCAAAGGTTCTCTAGACTCCTGGAGTTGAGATGGTAAATTCTGAAGGGCTAAGGAGGGTGAGAATATGCACTGTATCTCTCTTTACTCTGTCTATTAGATCTTTGCTGATCTCTGATCCTTCCTGTGCTCATCCTTTCAAGAAGAAAGATGCCAAATGGCAACAAAATTAGGGTACAATCCTTATTTTCTCTCATATGTGGAATGTTTGTTCAGCATTGCAGTTAATGAAGGAGCCAGAGAGTAAAGATATTCTTACTCCACTGATTGTATCTAGACTTTTGTAATCATCACATTGAGATATTTTGCTTAAAACTCTTTGTATACTAAAATGTATGACGTAACACAGCAGGTCTTTAAACTCATTGTTTCGTGGATTTGAATTCAGATTTAAGCCTTTCTTCTATAAACTCTTGCAACAAAACTGCATCAAGGAAGGAAAAAAAAGAAAAAGATCCATTTAATAGCACCTTAGGCTTATGACGACCCCAGACATCCACACCTCTGTCTCAGAATTTGGACCTCTGGTGCAGCAGCTCTTGCACCACTGCAATTTACAACACAGAAGCACTACTGCTGCTTTGGAGCTATCTTAATCCATTGGGTAATGAATAGGGGCACTCCTA